AAAATAAGTAGTGTTAGAACTGATCTAAAAGTTATATATAAAGGCTGTATTTGATTTGTCTGCCTTACAATAGAGACGAATGTCGGATATTTTTTAATACGGTGATGAAACTTCGAATTCCGCAATATAGGGGGTATATGTTCGAGGGTCTGAAAGACTACAATTTTCTCATTAAGGGCTTTGTTCTATGTTATTAGTTAACAGAGTTTTAATCTTTCTTTTCTCAATTATTTTCTGAACGAAAGAGAGATTTAATTAACCGGAAACTTGATACGAAATTGGGTTTCCTGGACGTGGGTTTAAATATTCGTAATTATGAATTATGACGTTATTTATAACAGGCGTCTGGATTCTATCGCTTTAGTGACATTATTAGCCCATTAAATTTTCAGTTTCAGGAGTAAGATTTCTGGTGAAGAGAAACTTTTGAGCACGACCCATTTTGTTTTAAAATTACATTATTCAATATAGAACCGATGTATACGGGGAATGTCATCCACCACGAAAAAAGAAAAGTAAAGAGGGTGCCACGCCCACGAGTGAAACCTCACATCGTTAATAGAGACGCTGTAACACTTCATTTTAATGAAGCCATCTTCCGTCCTGCACGTCCATCGTCAATTAGACGGGCTATTTTTAGTATTTTATGTTTCGGTATATTCTTAATTTCTGTAGTAAGCGCAGGAGTTACACCTTACGAGTATAACAGACAATACTTTCCTTAGAGTGTCACTAATTTATGATAATTTAATTCAAAATGCCTCACGTAGCTTACCTCTTTCTGTTGAAATAAATTAACTGAATTTTATAAAATTAGAATTATTCGGTCTTCGGACTCTGTCCATCATCATATAGTCTGAAAACTAGAAAACAAAGCGTTTCGGGAACTGGATCTGTTTCCGTCCTCAGGTGAGGGAGAAGACACCTACTCTGCTCTGTCCCTTTGAAAGAACTTACCTTAATCACTGGATAATCCATGTCATATTCACTTACTTACTTACTTACTCATGGAGCTGAGCCCTTCTGGAGGAGCCGCCAGTTCTGCAGTTACTCAAAAATTTCCCAGCATTTTATGGAACCCGAAGGTTCATTACCGTCTTCACAAGAGCCCTCCACTGGTCCATTACCTGAGCCAAGTCAATCCAATCTATACCATCCCATTCTATCTCTCTAAGATCCATTCTCATATTATCCACCCACCCACGTCTTGGTCTACCAAGTGGTCTCTTTCCTTCTGTTTTCCCACCAATATCCTATATGCATTCCTCTTCTCCCCATTCGTGCTACATTCTCTGCCCACCTCATCCTCCTTGACTTGATCATTCTAATTATACTTGGAGAAGAGTACAAGTTATGAAGCTCATCATTATGCAGTTTTCTCCAACCTCCTGTCACATCATCTCTCTTCGGTCCAAATATTCTCCTCAACACCCTGTTCTCAAACACCCTTAGTCTATGCTCCTCCCTTAAAATCAGAGACCAAGTTCCGCACCCATACAGAACCACAGGCAAAATTACAGTTTTGTATATTCTAATTTTTATGTTTTTGGACAACAGACGAGATGACAAAAGTTCTGGACTCAAAGGTAGCAAGCATTACCCGAGTTCAATCGCCTCTTATGTCATACTCACTACAGCTATTTAAATACCTGAAACATCCAATTTCCGAAACATTGTGTTCTGTAGCTTTTAGAATACCAGACGATAAACTAAGTCCGGAAACCCAGTTATTTTGAGGGATGTACACCATCGTCAGAACCTTTTATAAACTATTTATGGAATTAGCGTATGAAGAAGATTCCTTTCGTGCTCTTCATTGTGGTACATGTGAGGGGCCAGTGCAGGTTCGCCAACTGACTGATTGACTAACTAACTAACTAATTAGCTAGCTTAACTACTTAATTTTTTTAATTTCTTGGGGTGGGCTGAGACTGAGTCCACTAACATTTGACCTTTTGTACCATACCAAGATGATTTTTTATTGCTAGTGGGGTGGGAATAAGTCCCTTCTACTCTGGCCACTTCTGGCCTATTGTACCAGCCCCAGATGATAGGCGAGGGTGATTGTGGAGCAATTGGTGGAATGAAGATTGGCAGGGGAAACCGAAGTACTCGGAGAAAACCTGCCCCAGCGCCACTTTGTCCACCACAAATCCCACTTGATCAGACCCGGGATCGAACCCGGGTCGCCGCGGATCCCAGGATGTTAGATGATGATGAGTGTGGAGCAATCGGTGGAATGGAAATTGGCAGGGAAGCCTAAGTACTAGGAGAAAGCCTGCCCTAGTACCACTTTGTCCACCACAAATCCCACATGACCTTATCCGGGACCGAACCCAAGAGGCCGCCTTGTGAAATCGCGCGGCTAAATGCCTAACCTAGGACACTGCCCTAAATTAACTACTTTACAAATTAAATTAATAACTAACTAAAGCAACTACATGGAGTTGAATTGTTCTTGGGAAGCTCATAGTTGCTCATCTACTCAAGAAATTCTCAGTATTTCATAAAAAGCCGGAGCTTCAATATATTTTCACAAGAGCCCTCCAGGGTCAGTGTCTTGAGCCTCATGAATCCAGTTCATATCCCCTCGTCATATTTATTTAAGATTCATTTTATTATTATCCTTCCGTTTTCGCCTACATTTCCCTAGTAACGTGTTTCATTGTGGTTTTCCTACCACTACTTTAAATTTATTAGTTTCAACTTGAAATATATATATATATATATATATATATATCCAGGGTTCCGTGACGAATAACAATGAGCTTTGAACAGGATGATCGAATTTATTAACACTTCTTTTACATACGATCTCTCTTAATCACAATATATTATAGCGCTCTCACTAATCTACCTACTTCACAAATCACTAGGACATTCTCCCTTCTCGTCCTTGTACTTTTCTGTACTCTTTTGTCCATGTATTCTCAACTGAACCCTCAGTTATTCTGAGAAACTCGTTATATAGCTTCGGGGCTGATCCAAGAGAAAAATAGCGTTTCCTAGCAATTATTTTATTATAGAGGTGTGTTTACATCCCGTTGCATTGAAACTGTGTTCTTCTATTGTCTACGTATTCGTTGCCGCGATGTGTGTACCGAGTCGTTGCCCAGCAACGAGTCTACATGCGTCACAGTATGTATTCCATGGAGGACGCCCTTCCAGTCTATATTTTACTGACTTTTCGCAAATTTTTCTGGTGTATATGTTCTTCCGTGTTCTGCCTAATTCGCAGTAAAGTATAGTACTATGTACGATAAGGGACACCCCCCTCCCAAAAAAAGGAATTTGATTTTTGTGCAGGTTTCCGCCGCTAGGTGGTTGTTTGCAGCACCTTCCTGAATCAGTATGCCGGCTGACGTCGACGGAGAAATTTGCGTTAGTGTTTGTTGAATTTTTTTCCAAGTGACTTTTTTATAATTCGTCTACTTTTTAAAGGCTGATTCAAACGAACAACGTGCTGCTGTGAAATTTTGTTTCCTTTTGGGTAAAACAACATCAGAAACGGTTGTTATCCTCCAAACGGCCTACAAGGAAACCGCCATGAGTAAAACACAAATTTACGAATGGTTCTCCCGTTTCAAACGTGGTGAAATGTCAACTGATAATCAACCTCGAAGTGGACCGCCCGAACTGATGAAAACGTGACAATAATTCATCAGATCATTCTGGAAGATCGCCGGCGGACAATTGACGAAGTTTTGAAAAGGTTGCATAAGAGTTTAAGGAGAAAACATCCGATTTGTGGCAAACAGGTGAATGGTTCTTTCATCATGACAACGCCCCTGCCCACACAGCGCTGTGTTTGCAGCGATTTTTGACCAAAAATGGAATGACACCATTGCCTTACCCCCCGCACTCAGCCGATCTTGCCCCGTGCGATTTTTTTCTATTTTCTTGGATGAAAAGAGACCTCAAATGAAAGCGTTTTGCTGATGTTGAAGGCGTAAAGAAAAAAACGACGGAAGCGCTAAAAGGCGTCACCAGCGATACATTTAAAAAAGTTTTGAGCAATAGAAGAAACGTTTGAACAATTGCATTGAATCAAATGGAGAGTACTTTGATGGGGATTAAAGTTTAGTTGTGTAAAAATAAATACAGAATTTTTTATAAACAAATTCCATTTTTATGGGGTCCCCCCTCGTACAGGTCATATTTTTAGACCTGGCCTCAGGATTGCACGGTAGAAGAATTCAGTTATGTCAAAAAGTAGTTGTTGCTTCTGCAATATAGGAGGGAAGGCAACGCATTATAACTGAGACTTCACTCATAAACCATACACACCCTACAATCTTTACCACAGTTAGCGGACTCGACTAAATCTAAAATATGATTTTAAATTGTTGTCGGGTTTTCCGTGGCCTATAATTTTCAAACCGGAAAAAAATAAACCTGCTTACTGACTATGAAGGGATAATTCAGAAACTTTTATTTGGCAGACAATAAAACATTTTAAAATACACTTTTATATTCTATAAGCATTTTTTGTTGTTGTAAGATTTGAGGCTTTCACGGCGGTGACTATGAAGAAAGCAGTCTTCTGGGATTTGGCACCGTGTATCTGTGGTGTTAACCGACGTTCCTCCGAAACGTCGGTTAACACCACAGATACACGGTGCAAAATCCCAGAAGACTGCTTTCTTCATTTTTTGTTGTTGTTTCCGATTTGAAAATTATAGACCATGGAAACCTAGACAATAATTTAGAATCATCCTGTACTGGGCATTCGGTTGAGAAAGGCCAGATGTAAAAGTACTGACGATAAAAGAGAACTGATTAGAGGTGCAGTTTATATGTTTTACATTGCCACTGTTGACTTCAAAAGTATGTGATTTTAAAGAACAGCAGATCTAGTTACATACCGCTGCTTGTAACACGGAGTCATGTTGCGTCAAAATGTCGCTCATGACGTCAGATATTTTACGGAAATTATCGAATAATAGCCGGATTTTGACGAATGCTTAAAGCGACATAGAGAAGAGGGTGTTGTCCACGCGTGCAAGTGAAATGAAATGTGAAGTTTGTTCAGTGTTTCTTTCGCTGTAAATCAACACATGAGCTTATTATGAAGTATCATATTCACTGTGGTTTGTTATACGCTGTAACATGTGACAATTAATTCACATACAGATTCATATCATGTTAATATAAACAGAGATATAACGTGTATGTTATTGTGTTGTGGTCAGCCATGAAGTCAAAGCAACAGGTGGACGCGAGTGTCTATAGATGGCTGTAAAATGGAGCAGGTTATTGACAAGGTATTTTACTATCGCAGTATCTATTTTTAGTACTTCACCGTCAGTACCAACAGAAGTAATTCTTTGAGTTAGTGATTTTTCTTATTTATTTTGTAATCAAAATAGTATACAGGGTGATTCACGAAATTTTACCCCCACTTAGGGAGGGCATTCCTGAGGTAATTTGGAACAAAAAATGTTAATATACTGTAACGTGTTTTGCGTATCCAACTCATAATTAAAGAGATACA